TCACCAATGGCGGCGAGACAGGGCGCGATTGGACCAAACATCTCGAGTTTCTCTCATTGAATCTCAATGATCTTTTATTTTATTATCGTTATATCTTTTATGATTGTGTAATCGATTCGATTATGAATTCGATTTCGATTGTACGAAAATAATTTATGTTTTGATTCACTCTAAATTAAAAAGCTAAATTTGTTGATATCCAACTTGTACAATGAATAGAAAATAATGTTTATTTAAAAAAAAAAAAAACTAAAAAAATTGCAAATAATTTTTATTGAAGTATCAAGTATAGTAAGTAGAGGAGATTCCGCTGCAATAATACATAAGTAAACAAACATATTTTTATCTCCATCATTGCCTTTGTAAAAAAGAGAGATTTCAGTCTCACACAGTTGTAACAGTAACATTCCCATAAAGGTAACAATTTAACCTTGCAGTTGAAATGAATTAACATTAACACGGCCATCAACCTTTTCATTCCACCTCATGATGTACCGCATTTATTTGTAATGTGAAGTATAATTTTATTGACACTAAGTACAGGCGGACAGGTAATTGTACAATTAAATTAGCATAGCAAAGCACGCGAAAACACATGTATATGTAACAAACACGGTGTCCGGTTGTAGCGTTTTAAATATCAAAATATTAGTCAAATATTCTATCTGAAATTACAATCTTGGATTTAATGAGTGAATTAATTGGATTGCGGATTGGACGCCGGCCATGGCAGCCATAATTGCTCGAACTGGTTTTGACTTCGAAGCACGTACAACTTCTGTTCCTGAGCTAAAAGATTTCTCTTTACAGGGAACTATCTTTTTTATTTCTATTTCATTTTTAAATGTATCATGTGCCAGGAATGTCAGGTTCAATACATTGTTATACAAGTAACCGTATAGTCTGCAATTTTTAAAATACTTCATTTCACTATTACTGATATTATTAGTAGGTACAAGTATTGTAATTAATGTATATGTTATTTATATATACAACATAAACTATAAATGGATATTAAAGTATGTTTGGTAAATAATTTAATTTTTGTATTATATGATCTAAAATGTACCTCTTGTTTCTAAATTTTAGGTCTTGATTTTAAACAGCCTATAAAACTTACTACTTACTACTTACTATGCTTTAAGAGACTCGTAAAAGAAAAAAATAGTTAAATCCCTTCGATCAAGATATTCATCAAATAATTCAAGTACAAAAGCATCAAACTAAGATAATATTACAAACACATTATTTGACAGAGATTGTTCATGAGTTGTATTATTTGTTAACTATTGTAGATAGTTGCAACAGATGTCGCTGTTGTAAATTAATCTAAATTATCTATATAAACATTTAAATAGCCCGTATAAACATAATAATAACGTTAAAGTTAATCACATAACCTAGAACTAGACGTAATTGAAAAAATACGTCTACCAAGGGTAATCATAATCAATTATTTTACATTAAGGTATTTACCTACAGAATGTAGAGACCGTCACACTTAAATTATAAATAACCACCTTTATTTTATGTTAATTATTTATATAATATCTTTCAGAATAATAAAATATAACGATAATGGCCGCCATAACAAAACCTGCTTAGAAAAAATTTAGACCGTTTAAGAAAAATTTATTGAACGACATGTTTGAAACTATAATTATACAGAAATAAGTCAAGTTGAGTAATTGGTTATTGCTCACATTTGTTTTTCTTCACCTCTAGTTATAGCGGAGAAAAATTAAATATATAAGTGTGCTAACATTTACGACATACATTAATTTTAACACGTTAAAGGTTATTTCATAAAATTTATTTTTAAAATTGATATGTTCCATGTTTAAAGGTTAAGTTTGTAGTAATATTTAACAACTGTTTGACTAACAATTACAATGTTTTTGAACAATGTCGTGTCCATTTAGTTTCTTATTTTACTAGACTGTGAACACATTTTCCTCTACGATAAACATATTCAAAATTATATCAATCTTGCTACTCTACCTGCTAATTGTCCATGACCTAACATAATTAACAAATTTCTTATTTTTTTATATAATATAAGGTGGCAAACGAGCAAGCGGACACCTGAATCCACCGATATGACTATTACAGACGCCTTGCCTACCCTTAATTGACGGAGGAAGAGACGCACATAAAGGGGACATTTCCCTTTCCTATGCGTCTCCTCCACCGTCAAATCCACTTTTCCTTCCCATTCTTTCCTCTTAAGAAAAGGGTGGAAAGACTAAAATTAGGCCTCCGGCACCATACTCATCAGACGACACGCGGAATTGCTTCCACTTCATTACACATTAAATACAGTAAACTGCGATTAAATACAGCTAGTATCGCTACACCGTTAGCAGGTGTCTGGTATTATTTTTTATTTGCTGCTGTCACTTAAACGGCACGCTCGAGTACGTTATCAAAATGTCAAGCAGCGCCAGCGCATGAGCACGCACTAAGATGCGTAGACTCTGCAAAGTTAATGCGAAATAACTAGCATTTGGGTAAGGCCTGCCGCACAGTACGCGACGGAAGCCTGTCACGGGTGCAATTACTTGTACGGAGAATCGACATTAGTTTGCCGCGGTTTAAACTATTTATGTGAGGAATAAGAGCTGGAGTATCTACGTGGAAACGATCGCACGCATCTCTCATTATGCACTTTAGAGCAATTTGAGGAGCAGAAAAAGTCGGCCGAGTCGCATCGCGTGGTCAATTAAAAGCTCGATACGCGAACGCCCGCAACGGAACGGTACCGAGCGGTAGGCTCCACTCAATTGCCTATATCCTGCTATCCAGATTAAATAGAAAATACACGCTAATAATAACTAACGACTGAGTATTACAACGTACTACTTAGTTACACGTTTAATTCACAGTGAAAAAAGGAAGTACCTTAAAATAATTTTATTTCTTACTAATATTATAAATGCAAATATTTAGATGGATGGATTTGATTGTTTGTAGCTTAAACAGCTCAACAGATCTCGATGAAATTTGGCATAGATATAGAGGATAGTCTGGTAAAGTACATAAGCTACTCACTTTTGTTTTTTTTTTAATTCCACACGGACGGATTCGCGTGCAAAAACTACTGATTCTATGAAAGTACACTAGTTTTATAAAATAAATGTCTCATATATCTCTCTTCATAAAACTTAAATATAATTTTACGTATAAATAAAATATAGCAGCGTCCGATATGTATCTGCTAAAGCTCATGTGAGCTTTGAAGTTTCCTCGTGACTTGTAACCTGTCTAAGATCCTGCGCCCACGCACCCTCCAGTCAAATTAGACCACCAATGGAACCAGTTTTAGAGCACTCCCAAGCGCATGTAGAATAATTTCTGAATTCATTTAAATTATGATGGTAATATTAAGAACTATTATCTTTATTAACATTCTTTTGACAAATGTTAAACATTTTACGAAACAATTATAAGGTACATTTAGTTAAAAATCAATATTTCTACGCTTAACAGACATGTATTATTTTAGAAGAATAAAACACTGCTGTTAGACGTTGTTTTTTGAGAGACAAATCTTTCCTCTTATAATATTAGTATAGACAGATACCAACGCAATATAACTATGGACCTTCTAAATTTTGCATAGTATTCAGACAGTAAACAAATAAAAGTTGCTTAATTGTTGTTAATAAAAACCAGGCTAGACATTCCCCTAATTATGCCACTTTAGAACAAAAGTTTTAAATAAGTGAATAATTAATGATTTCAAGAGACTAGAACCAAATCGATTTCTATAATTCGTTTACTAATGATGTAGAAGCGTAGAGAAAACAAAAGGCAGACTAACAACAGATTCATTGAACATACGATCCTACAAGCCAAGCATCAATCACCAACGACGAAGGTGCAGCGAAAACACTGTTAGTTTTGCCGCCGAATTATTAATTACATTCTAACAAAAAACTCACACGACGCCGAAACACATAAATTTGTTCCTTTTTGACCGCACAAAGGGGCCGTGCGGCGCGTAGCAACGCTAAAGAGATTGCCCGCGCCGACACCGCCGACACGGCATAATTTTTGGCGCCAGTAGTCCTGCCTCTAGATTAAACTAATATGAAAAGGAAATTGAGTAGAAAATGGATGGAGGCTCTATGTGTCATTAAGGATTCGTTACGGTGCTCGAAAGTGCCGGCGCGGCCTTTATTTATTTGACTTTATTTAATTGAATTAACATTTCAGTAGTTTTACGACCTGCCAGTAATGTTCGTGGCTAATGTAATGGACAATAACAATAACATTTACTATGCCTTTATAGGATTCTTGATTTACATTAAGCCGTTTTTTATTTCCAATGTTTTTATTAACTTTTGTTTCTAAATCCAACTTTGTAAAAAGTTTTAGGCCTACGTTATGATGGGTAATGCGGTTTTTTATTGTATTTAGCATTTCGAATCTCAACACTATAATGAAAATATAGGTTTTTTTGAGACTTGAACGAAGCGGTTTAGTTCGGGCGGGTCCACTAGAATGGGCGAGGGAGGTCGCCATGAATAGTAATAGAGGTTAGGTTAGGGGACGGAGTCTCGTGAGTTATACCGCTTATGGCGCGTACTAAATCGACAATACCCGAGGGCGCTTTCCGCTCTCCGGCTAACAGACTGTTGTATAAACTAACGTAACCGGGATATGTTATGTTGATTGGGAATCTGTGCCGTGAACAATTGCCGATGCACTCGTGACGGCTATATTAACCGCTCTAAATGGGTGGGATTGTTCGTTTATTTATTTACTATATTTTAGAATTGATATTTTTGTTAGAATAAAAGTGGGATATTTAGTATTGCTAAGCATTTGTATGCATCTTCTGGTTTACTCCTATTTTTTGTTGTTCCTTTAAACTGACAGAGAACCATCAAGCGGCGTTTGGACTTATTACTACCAGACTGATAGGCGATAATATAAGGCGTTAGGGAGGCGAAGGGAGTGTTAGTCGAGGGCTAACTGCTGTCTGCGGGACTCACATTCATGAGCAGGTCCGGCGAGGTGGAGGGCTTGCCGCTCATGGCGCCGGCGCTGGCGCATGTCACACTCACTCACGGCACTCGCGGCGGTGGAGCGCGGTCGTGCGGCGTGCGGCGGCGTGCGGCTTGCGGCGTGCGGCGGCGTGCGGTCTGCGTGCCGGCGGCGAGCGCGACTGCCGCGCCGGCCCCCACTCGCCACGCGGCCCCCACCGCTACCGGCTGCCTCATTTCTCACTATAATTTGCGTGTTGCTCGTTTTTTACCATTATTACTGCCTCGTTTTGTTTTACGTATTATCGAGTGCATCCCGCTCGCACCGGCCGCCATGCGCGCTGAGCGCCGCCCAGATAATAGCCGCGTGCAATTACGTCGTAGCCGCAGCGTCCGTCGCGCGCTACGCACAGCGCCATCTGTTGACGAGAGGCTAACATTAATCTGACTTGCTAAACAATACAGTCTTCAAGCACTTGGACTAAATAAAAACAAAACAAATCAATGAACGAGTAAGCTACGTAAACGATTACAACCTTTGTAAATCAATGTCAATTATACATATTTGAGTTGAACAAACTTTTTAAATTGATAAGCAAATCGCTATAAATCGAGCGTAAACCTATAATAAATTAACACTAACTGCATTTTCTTATTTACAGCAACGTGAAAATAGATAATCTTTTTTAAAAACACAAATCCAGAGGCAAAGCTAAGGTACTGCCCAAGATTGAATTGTTAATCTTAAGATTTCATGGCGGTGACCATCTAATTAATTACCTAACATAGAATGTTTTAACTTTTTCTATTTGTTCAGCCTCAAAAAAGCTATATATGAACAGACTTCTTTAATTGAAAGTTTACTTTATATTATACTATGATTTCGGATAGCTTTTCGATTATATTCTTTACGTCTGTCTTCCAATTTGTTTTAATTCAGTTTTTAAAATAAAATATTGTAAAACATTATAATACGTTTAATCATAAAGAAAATATGTTTCATGATGTAAACCAAATGTTAGAAACAAGACTTGTTTTCGAGATAAGGTCGTAGTATATTTTTGGCGCCCACAACCTTTGTTTCATGAAAAAGACATAAACGAGCTTACTTCATGGAGTAGCCTCAATCCTTTATGCAGTCTCTGTTACATTTACTGTTGAGTCTATAAAAGTACTTAAGTTGTAATACGTAATTCAAATAAAACCGCTTAACTACATGTTATTCGATTTTATAGCTAGCATTTACTTTCTTGTTCCATAATGAAGAATTGTATTATTTGATCTAATGCAATAAAAATGTAATTAACACAAAGATGGCAACTGCAAATCGTGAAAATTGTGTGAAATGGTATTTTAATATTGACAAGTACATTTTATGGAGTAATTTTAGTATTACTTAAATGTAACTTAGCGTTCTACGAAAAACATTAATGATATAGGAAAGAAAAACAAAAAAAAATGTTTCAATTATTTATTTTTACATGAAAATATATTTTAAAAGTAACATTAACCCTCACCTACGAACTTTCTAAGGCATTACTTGGCAATACATCACATTGAATCGTATGGTAACTTAACAAAAACTTTTAACATTAACTTGACAATTTTGAAGAGATATTTACATAATTACTATTATTTTAAACTTGCTGTATCACTTTCAAGGCACTTCTATTGTCCAATAGCGACAGGAGGTTGCAAATTGTAATGTCCGTGAAACATCGCGTAGTTATTCTTGGCGGCGCACTGGTAGGTTCCCAAGGGAGCTGGGTACTGTTGGTAGAAACGATGATCCCGCATAGAACTTCGTCCGTAAAGAGCATCCTGGTGAACTTCAGGGTACCAGCCATTAGTAACACCGCTACTGCCAAATACTGCACTTGAATTATAAACGTTCACGGGATTCGTAGACGCGCTCAGAGCACCGTAACTCAAAGTAGCTTGCTGCCTTTGTTCTCCGGGAACAGTCGAGGGAATACTACCGTAATTCGTACTGCCAATGGATACCGAAGGTGTCGTTTCATTCTGGACTGTACTATTCTGTTCTTCTTTGTGATTCTTCGTTATTTCTTCCTTATCGTCTTCTTTTGGTTTTTTAGTTTTTCGCGATGTGTTCGCGTGGGTTTTCACATGTTTCGCCAGATGATCGGATCGCATGAATCTCTTCGAGCACAATTGACATGCGAATCTCTTTTCACCGGTGTGTGTACGGAGGTGCCTCTGCAGCTCGTCGGAGCGGGTGAATCGTTTGCCACAGAATAACCAATTGCAGACGAAAGGTCGCTCACCGGTGTGCCACCGGAGATGTGCCTTTAGATGCGAAGTCTTGCCGTACACCTTGCCGCAGCCAGGCACGTGACAAACATGTTCTCTCTTGGAGCCGTCTTTCCCGTAGTTGGGGCCGAAGCCTGCAGCCTCCGTAAGACAATTGGGGCACCGGCACTTGGCACAGCGCCGCTGCAGGTCGCGGGCATCCTCGGTGACGGCGGCAGCGGCGGGCGGCCAGTAGGCGGGATACTGCGCGGCGTAGGGCGGCAGGTCGCGCCAGCCCGCCGGCGCTGCGCCGCACCACGCACCAGAGGATGCACTGCTGCACGATGACAAGTCCGAGGCGGGGGACAGTGCGTCTCCCCGGCCGTATCCACACCCGTAGCCGCCCATCATATTCATCATCTGCAAGAAACACTTACTTTTAACTTCTTGCACATATATTTGATCAAAATTTTAATGATAATTTGACTGAAAACTGTGAAAATATAATTGAGATTAAAAACACTATCTCCTTATTTATCTGGTATTTTTAAGTTACTGTCACTACGAATAAATTAAGTTCAATGAGGGCGCCATAAAAAGGGTGTGGGCGGGCGGACGAACCTGTTGCGAGGGCGCGGGTGCAGGCGGGTCCACGTACTGCATGGCCGGTGACGGTGGTGACAACGTTACGCGATCGAAACTCTCAACTGGATAATTACAGGGCGGCGCACCGCTCGCGCCGAGACGTTTTTAATAACTGGCTTGGGATAGACGTAACGAGCGGTTGTCACCTCGCCCCGGCCCCGCGGGCGCCCCTCGAGCGGCGCGCGCGCACCCCGGCAAGGAGAGACCCCCCGCGCTCCCCGCACGCCCCCCGACCGGCGCAGCCTCCGACACACCTCGCCCCGCCCGTGAATTATGACTCTACGACCCGAAATCTTATGTGGAAGAAACACGATTGAAAAGCAACGCCGAGGCGCAAAGGTTACGTTTACACTTCATTTGACTGCGTTCATACAACAACAAGGCTGTGCGGGCCTTAACTTAGATTAAGTTTTATTGATTTTGCAATTTACGACAGATTTATTTATTGTCAACAGAAAATTATGGCCTTTTTACATACCATTCTTTCGAAAATCAGAAATCTTTCGAAAAAATTGCATCGAGGAGTATTTCTAAGGCAAATCATGAATCGAGCGTGTGGGGTTTATTTTTTCTGACAGTTTAAAATAAAGCTGAAATGCGTTGACATTCAAATAATGCGGGGAATAAGCTTCGCAGTCTATGATACTTGACATGTGACAAATATGCACACATTTTCTCAATCTTTGTCACTAGGTTCCACAATTTGATTCTTAAATTTTGTCACACCTTAGTGCCACTAACTATAAACGCATGTTATGTTAGCTTTTATTGTATTCTTCATGTACATGCTCGACAGTAATCTGATAAAAACAGTGATTACCATTTATTATTATCAGGAGACGCATTTGATCTTTTGCCCATTCTTAGGGTCCTTCAAGAAGCGAGGGTATCTCTTAAAAGCCGGCAATGCATCTGCATTTCCACTGGTGTTGCAGATGTCTATGGGCGTCGATGTGCTCATCGGTGTTCCTACCGCCGTTTGTCTCATCTCTTAAAAAAATATTGTAATGTTTTATAAATATTTTTAGCCGGGTACAACTTTAGTATCAGAATAATTTATTTAAATCAAACGAATATAATTATAGATATCCATCCCTTTCTAACGGAGCACAGACTATCTCCTCACAGACTATTTATTTATTGTTTTTCTTTCCAAACTCCCAGGCGCATTAATGTTTTTAATTTTTTCTCTATTTCGGTCGGCAGTTCGCGGCTGACGTATGATTTATGCATATTCGAGCGGGGCCAAACCTTTAATTACACGTTGTTAAAATATGGCAGTTTGTTAAATCGTTTGCCTTACTCGCTTTTGTTTTACCGCTCTCTCGCACCGATCAGACTATCTTACCTTTTCTTATTTAACAGATTTCTTAAATTGTATTCCCGTACAGATGGAAGATAACACAACTTTTGACAATAATAAGTTATTAATATTGGTGGGTTGAGAACTTTAGATGACCAATCAGTTGCAAACACAAAAATATACGAATACTATACCATATGATTAGGAATAGAAATATTTTTATCTTTTATGCGCCTCCTACTAGCTTGGTTCAAGTCTTTAATAAAGGTATCGTTATTCGTAAAGATCCTATCTACAGCTTTAAGTCCCAATAAGATACGATTACATACTTCTCGATATTCAAGTAACAATAAAATCTCATGACCACAAATTATAGTCGTTGGTAAATAAGAAGCACCATTCAAATTAAATCTCTGAGAAGGGAGACACTTTGACTATCTTTTAGTTTATAGAGTTGTACGTTTATTGTCAAATAAAAAAAAGAAAAACACACACAATAAGTATCTTAACAACTAAACATTATCTACGCTTACTCCTTTTAGAAATCACAAACGCAATAACCTGTCGACAAGTTTGTTATACGATAGAACAATAGAGATCGATGTTTAGGATCGCACAAAACCCGACAGCTTCTGTGCCGACGCACAAAGGCCACATGTTGCGGACAATGACGGCTACTAATGTCCTATGATCGTTCGCCTCACGCCATAAATCTAACATGCCAGCCACTGTCTTTGTACCTTAAAAAAAACCTTCGACAAACCATCGCATTGAAAAACTACGGACAATGTTAGTGCTCCTGTATTACAAGTAATAAAACCTTTTTTTAAATATGTATTATGGAGTGTTTGTTCGGTTTTTCTTTTGTCAAGTTGGTGAACTTTTGCTGCGAAAGATAGAAAGAGCAATGAGCAAATATGTTTTATAGCTATATGAGTATTATTTTTTTTAAGATCTAATTCGTGACATGAGTCGAGTATTACTAAGTATAGTATAGTATATAGTTTCTTGTAGAAATTCTAAACAAACGTTTTTAATCGATGGTTAGCAAAAACTATGTTGATCGCCCACATCTGTAGTATAAAATCTTTTTCAGTTGTCCATGCAGCGGCACACTTCCGCTCAGTAGTCGGATATTTTACACTAATTACTGGTTTCATGTATCGTGGGCGGGTAATTGGTTCGATCGAGCGTTGTCCTTCACTTCCTGTCTTTTGGCGATCCGACTCATTCACTTCGCTTTACTTGTACAAAATACCGGCGCGGTGGTGTCGAGTTGCAACCATTGTAGAGCGCCCGCGGCACCCACGGTTATAGGTAAGCGAAATGAATGCAACTCTCTTCTATGCAATTGATATTTTAAAAAAAAATATGATAAAGACGGGTGAATATAGTAAAAGATTAATTTGTAAGAAAAATCAAGACAAAATATATTTTGTCTGATTATAATTATTTTATAATTATCTGATTATATCTGATCAAGTACATAAAAACCCTGGCTTGAAGGCGTTTTAATCGCTTTCTCTATTACTTACGTAAGTAAAGATGTTAGTTCCAGATTTTTCGGCAATATGGCCAGAGTACTATAATTCTGTTCAGGTTATAGTTAGATTTATATTTAAAAATATTTTTAACTAAATCAGTAGTTAGGTTATTTTAAAAGACATAAGAATGATGCTTGTAAATTGTAAGTTAGGACCTTAAATCAAGACCGGTATCAAGTTATTGAAGAAGAACAGAAACTTAAAAAGAAAGCTGCGTTTTGAATCCAGGATATATAAAACCGATTTATCGATAAAAAGACGATCTCAAAGTACAATTGAAGAAAAATGATCTTTACATTGTCGTATTCGTTTCGCAAAAGGGAAGCAAAATAAGTTAAAAAGCTCAAATGTATCTAAAAAAGCTTTGTTGAGAAACGGACGCGAGTGTTATCTGATCGGAATTCCGCACGATTTTGTGCAAGTGGAAGGCAAGGAGTGAACATTGGTGCGTCGTCATTGTCAAAGTGTAACTAGATATCCCCAAGTACCTGTTAGCAACAATACGACGAGCACAGGTTCGCACTCTCAGAAGAGCTTTTGTAAGCCTTTTGTAAAGTAGCATCAGTGTTGAAATTTAGTACAAAAAAATATAATATGATTGTAACGCATCGCTAAAAAAGTCACTGAAATCGTGCGAACTTATAAAAGCTTGAATATGTTTTTCAATAGAAGGCTTTTATAACCAACTAACGGTCAAAAGCGACCTCGTCGGTGCATAATTAATAACCTATAACATTCTTTATACAATTTTCGTTTTCAGCAAAGCAAATACATGTACGCAAAAGAAATAAATATTCACTTTATTTCTTCGATATTACCCACAGACTCTCCAATTTCATTATAATACTAGCTTTCGCCTGCGTCTCCTGTCCGCGTGTAATTAAAAAGTAAGTAGCCTACCTGTTCTTCCAGACTGCCCACCACATCTATGCTAAAATTCATCAAAGCCAATTGCCATTCATCAAATGCCATTCAGGTTACAAATTTTATTAAACAAACATCCATCTATCCATCCAAACTTTCGCATTTATATTAGTAAGAAGAATGATTATAAATTATTGAAAATACAAATAGTTAAATACAACAGTATCGTTACATCTATATATATGTTTGTTTACTATTAAAAACTTTAAATCTTCAGAAAATATTAAAATTATTTGCAAAAATTATAACTATAACCAATTCTTAAATAATTACCCATCTAATAATGCAGCTTATTATTTAATAATTATTGGATCAAATGAGCAAAAAAAAACTATGACAAAGTTTACTTTTACAATATTACTTCACAAGGATATCAATTCTGTTACAAAGTAGGTAAGAGAATTCCGCGTAGCTCTGGCGCCCCGCGGAGAGGCGGCGGTCTTCAAACATGCTTCTTTCTAAACACTGACAGCCGAAATTGCCCTTCATAACTGAAATCGGCATTTCGGGCGCAGTTTGTTTAACACAACACATCTTTTTGGCAAAGACATCCGACAGTTAATGCTGCATTTGACACTCAGCAAATCAAACTCGACGAAACTTCGAAATACCATTTTTTTGTCAACATGTGCTTATCATAAAATAAGGTTGCGTATCTATTTTGTTTTGTTATTGTTAGTTGTTTTTGCTTATCTTCAATGATTCTTGAAAAACTTAAATTATTGTTTACAAACTAAGCTACTTTACCTTATAATAGCTTTAAAAGCCGTAATAAGTTACCAGCGATAATCAATTATCGGATATTAAAACTTTTTTACACTAACAAAAGATAATTAGGGTAGTCTAGGATTTAAAAAAAACAACAAACATTTAGAGTTCAAAAATTTATTACGCACACGACTCAATAACATACACATTTTGTACATTTTACATTCATACAAATATAATAAGTAATAATAAAGGCTTTTGTGATTTTACTAGAAAATTCAGACGAAATATACATTTATTGAAAGATAACCGTAAAAACTAAATTACAAAACAGATAGACAATCAGTCTAAATGGCTGGTATATTAAATGTAAAAAAGTTACCTTTTTCTAGAAACGTAACTTAATAATGCCCATAAGAAAAATGAGCTAAAAACACCGTACAGATTATTCTATAAAAGCTTTAGTGGGTTACAAAAATTTACAGAAACGAAAAAAATACGCGTTACAATTCATAACAAGTTTATTCTACGATCATACATATATACAGTATACCATAAATTACAATTGTATCACCACAATATATATTAATAAATTTAAAATTGCTTACGTAAATGTAGTACATATGTATTTATTTTGATTTTCAAATATGAACTCTATTATTGAATAAAATATAAATCTAATAATTGAGAATAAGTCACATACGATATGTATGTTGCATGCGACTTCGTTCACGTGAAAATAAAGCCTATGTTACTCAGCGAAAACGAAGATTTTTTTTAAAATCAGCCCAGTAGTTTTTGAGTTATTACAATACATACAAAACTACAAATCTTCCCTCTTTATAATATTAGTATATAGATTACATACTTGTAAAATTTAACCGATCAGAAAGAAAAAAAAGGACAAAAATAAAGTTGCTTACGAAAAAAAATGTTTTTTTTTTTAAACGATTGTAATTACAACTATACATAAGTTCAGATTTAATAATATATTATAAAATACAATAAATTACTTGACTCACCTTGTCTGCTATATTTGTGCTAAAACACATATTTAAATAAAAATAATTCAATACAGAAACATTCGCCAAATTCCAAACAACACATAAAGTCGTCGCAAAATTTCGGATATTATTAAACTAAAATTGGATTTTAAAACGAAATGTATATAAAAATCTGAATTACCTGGGATTTTGAATTGAGAGATGAATCTCATATAACAAAAAGAACGTTGGTTATGATAATAAAAGTACACTGGTAGAAGTAGACCTAGAAAAAGGATGGGATTGCGTGAAAAATGACCAAGAAAGGAGTAATGACTGAGATGAATGTTATGTGGAGAGCAAAAATACGTAGCGCCGACCCTACGGGTGCAGGATAAGGGGGGGAAACGATGAACTTGGGCTATATGATGTATGGATGTCTGAAATTAGCTTTTTAACTACGCGCACGCAATAACATAAGACCCTCATAGAATGCGTCACCTATTCACGGATATGACGTCATGTAAATATCAGTGCTATGCAAATAAAAATAAAAAAATATATTGTAATAAACAAACTCATTAGAGAAAAAAATACCTGTGACACGATACAAATTGGCTAATATATTTCCTAGCCTACTAGAAATTCATTTAATTTTGACGCATTTTTTCTTTATATTCCCATATTTGCTTATCTTAATATTTTTACTACACAGAAACATGTTTATTTATTCTTTGATAAGTATATTTTAAGTTTTATTGTATCGTAAAATACACAAGAAGTGCGATTATGGCTCAATAACACTCGAACTTCTGAATAAGGTAAGAAATGTTATTTCTATACTAATAATTTATTACGGCCAAGATTTAGTGGAGTTGCTTGAATAAGATTATCTATATAAATAAAAATCAATGTTTATTTGTTCCTCATACCTTAAACCATTGTATAGATTTTGATGAAACTTGGTAGAGTATTCTCATATAACAAGCGAATTTATTTTGTAACAAACTTACGCCAAAACTCAGCTATAATCACTTATATCTGAACAATTTCATAAATATTATCGAAATAGTAAGGGAAAATCTTTACAATCCATTAATATCAAACACTTAAAATACTTTTATATTTATTTTAACACGCGACATTGTAATAAAATATCTACTTATCATTCATTTTATTATAGAATATTATTCTTCACTATAGTGTGTCTAAATAATTTAGATTAGTTTGACAATTCATTTCAAATTTAGTAGGGATGGTTGTGTAAAATCAGTCATGAATCTTATCGATATTCGATTTTTATTCTTATAGAAGTTAGAATCGATAGATTTATAGTTATTAATTAAAAAAAACACTGTTTTCTCAAATTAATAACGACCATAACAAATGAGAGTAAATAAATGTTTATTACTACTACAGCCGTACGTAATCGAATTGGATTTCGCTATTATTTCTGTCATCGCTAAATTCTCTAC